CGATAATAAAAAGATAAAAATTAATTTAAACAGAGGATGAATTGATGGTTCCTTAGAATCTGATCATTTTATTCAACTTTTAAGAGTGCTTATAGTTTAGTGTTTTGTTTTTTTTTTGCATGCATTAATATTTCTTTTTATAGCCAAAAAAATTACAATAAAGAGCTTTCCTGTTTTTACTTGGTGTCAGATTTCATTTGAACAACTTTGAGCTGCTCTTGTATATTTGACCTAAAAACAAAACTGCAGGTGGACCAGTTTGACACGACACAGATTAGAAACACGAAGCCACGCAGATAAAATGCAACAATGTGTTAGAAATGCATTGGGCAGGTAGCAGTCTGTATGACCTTAAAATATGTTTGCATAAATCCTTTATATGTGACTTGACCTGCAAGCCTTGTGAACTATTGTTTGATTATATCCTTCTACTGTCTGAACTCGCTTTTTAGCAGTTTGGATGGAACACCATTCAGTCAGCCATATTGGATCAGTGTTCTGATGCTATAAGCTCAGTGTAATTCAAATTTCTCACTTTAAACATTCATTGCATTCTGTGTCATTTATTCCTAAATGTTTTGTTTAAACTGCAACTTTTCTGGGGAAACTGGGTTGAAGATACAGCAAATCAGTATATTGACCTGCTGATGTCCAGTGTGATTGTCGGTGTGTTTGTGTTTACATTCAGGGAGTTTGATGAGATTGGGCTCAGTCAGCGCCGACGTGCAATCTGACGAGGCTGCTGCATGTGGTAGACTAGCCCACCCTAATGGACTTTATTCAGGCCTTCCTTTCAAAGCTGATCCTCAAATTTGCTGAACTCACTCAAATCTTGCTGATGTATGTGACTAAATAACATCAAAGTAAAAACTTGCACCTCGCTGATAATAAACTATTAAAAGGGGGCTTTGAATTTATTTGTCTGAAAGATGCTGAACACATAAACTGATCTTCCCTCCTTCAAACAGGAAGCTTATCAAAACAGACTGTAAACAGGACTGTTTGCATCAATTCAGTTCAGAGATTAACAGCTGATATCCACTGTATGTTTGATTTACTCTTTATATGAGAGGTTTTGAGGGGGTTTCATGTTCCAACAGGTCAAAGATCCTCAAAAAAAAAAAAAAAAAGTCACCAAACTTGGTTTTTAAATTAATAAAGCAGGGCTGATATAACCCTACAAAGGTAGAAAGTTGTTGAATTAGTTCAGTGCCAGAAGAACAACCTACCTTTGTATAAACTCAAACATCCAGAAAGCATGGCAAACATCTTGTTAGCATGCATTCTCTGCAGAGGGTTGGGACCAAGAAAGAAATGCTGACACGTGCACAACAACCAATTTTCTGCTGTAGACGTGAAGACGCTTTGTACAGATATGTTCTTTAGTCAGATGAGACAAGGAAGGAGTTATTTATTGACTATGACAAGAGCTTTGATTGCGGGAGTCAAGCAGAGGCTTCCAAACCAAAGGACATCAACTGTGAGGTATGGTGGTGGTAGCATTATGCTGTGGAGTTGGTCCAAGGGTCGAATCAGCTACAGTTTCTTCCTGTCAGTGTTCATCATCACCATGAATGAGAAAATGATTTAGTATTGCACTGCAAAAACTGACCTTAAAATAAGGTCATAATAAAGAATTCTTAAAATAAGTGCATTTGGCCTTAAATTGAACAGACAAATAAGATGATATGAGAAATAAACTAGGGTGTTTTCTCTTAAAATAAAATAATTACATTGAATGCACCTGAAATAAAATATAAGATATTTGTTTTTTCCTACTATAAACATAGGTCATCTAATTTCATCAGCAAATTTTCTTACCACTTTGAATTAAGGAATCAGCCGCAGCCTGTGGTTCTAGAGAGGGGCCAACAGGTCAGTGATCACACTGTTTACATTTGATCACTGCAAAGCTGTACTAGACGAAATGTCTGAGTATTCTTGTCTGTTAGTGCTCATGTACTGAAGTCAAAATTCTAGAAGAAAATTCTGATGATGACATGATCTGGAACAGGCACAGTGACTGATAGGTCCCTTGGACCCATTTCCTTATTTTCTCTACAGTTCTGTTTTAATTACGATTTAGAACTTAGAGATCGGCCTGTTTTTCAGTGTAGTCCTGTTTCTCTGACTGTGACTAACTGAATGTGCTCTCTTCATCCTCTGACGTGTGTTTCCTGGACGGGGCCGCCTTTTATAGTTGCTTTTTGTATCTATGCTTCT